TATGTACATAAATTATATGCAGAACCACCCTTGGTTTTGCACTTCCAATAGTTTGCACCTCGTGATCAACCTAAATTTTTTTTTCCCCTAATTCTCTCAAGTCTAAGGAACAAAATGGGAATCTCACGACAACTTTACAAGTAATAAGAAACATTATAAATACATACATACAAATAACCACAGTAAGGTCTGAATCTACAAAATTTTGGTAATTTTTTTGGTGTTGCTTTTATTCGGAGCACTCACCAGATTGAATTATATTTTGGCCCTATTAAGAAACTAAGTTTATTAATTTATCAAAATGGCTGTGTTTCGTAGCAGGGAAAATTTACTCGAAATTGACGACCCTTCTAGATTGTGCAGTATCTGTAACGAAGATGTTACAGATGCGTCTTTATCAGTAACTCCTTGTCAACATAGTTTCCATCGCGCGTGCATATCCAGATGGCTGGAGGAAAATAACGCTTGTCCCTTGTGTCGACAGTCATGTGACACGCAGTCATTAAAAAGCTTCGCAGAGCAGGAGCCGGTAATCCAACCAGGCACTTTTGAAGCTCAAGGCGCTATCCCGAAAAACAATACACAGCGTCGCGTAACTAGGTCAATGGCTGCCCATAATACTTCCCTTAATAGTTCATATAGTAATAGTCGTGGCATGGGGCGTGGTACAAATGTAAATCGCACGCAGCGGAATATTCAAAATAATATAAATCAAGCCTTTGTCCAAAATGTTGTCCAAGACAGTGTTCGTAATCTCGAAGAACGGCTTTCCAGGCAAATACGCGACGATGTAGGAAATGTAGTGTCAGAATCTCTTCGTTTGTACTTTCGTAACCTCAATATTTCAGAACCTCGTAATGATGAGACAATAAACAGGACGCGCATCACTGCCGCTCCCAGAGAGAATGACGAGCGACATCCATTACAAACTTTGAATCAATCACGTAGGGACTCCCCGGATGTGTCTGCGACAGTATCTGCTAAGGTAGTTTCAGGTTGGAAATTAGTTTTTGATGGTTCCATGAATGGCGTGTCAGTTGACGAATTCATATATAGGGTGAATGCGCTTACCAACTCAACGCTTCGTGGTGATTATCGCATTTTATGTCACCACGTTCACTTGTTATTCGAGGGCAAAGCCAAACGGTGGTTTTGGCGTTATCACCATTCGGTCGAGGCCTTAGATTGGATAGATATCTGCGACAACCTGCGCAGTAGTTTCAAGGACTTCCGATCTGATTTCGATATTAAAGAATCAATACGTAATCGTAAGCAAAAAAGCGGCGAATCCTTCGAAAGCTACCTGGACAATCTGCTAACAATATCTGACAGTTTGAGGCACCCTCTATCTGAAAGAGAATTAGTTGAGATAATTATAAGAAATCTCCAACCAGAGATTCGCTTAGAGTTGCTACACCTAGAGATTAATAATGTGTCAGATCTTCGAAAAGCATGCCGACGAAGAGAAAATTTACTAACAGAAATTCAAACCCGGACACCTTTCCAAAAACCTTTCGCGTCACAGCGTAGAAACATTTCGGAAGTTGAAATCGAAGATCTTAAGGATTGCAACGATGAAGTTTGCGCCGACATTACTAGCCAGTCTTCTAAACAATTAGGCGAAAGGACGTGTTGGAATTGTGATGAAAAGGGTCACAATTACAAAAACTGCGTAAAGCCAAGGCGAGTATTTTGCTATGGGTGCGGTCTCACAGCGTTTTTCCTACCAACTTGTCCAAAATGCAATGATCCGGAAAACGGGAGAAGGGATGTCAGCAACAAGCTCAGACATCCCAGAAGCTAATCGGATCCGCGCAACTAGTTAAGAAGCCTTTTGTTTTGGAAAAATCGGATACAAAAGAGTATGTTCCAAAACTTCACCCAATTATTCCCTTTCATGAACGTCTTGTTGCATATAAAAACACCAGAAATAAAATATTCAAACCATCTCGGTCCGCAGAGCGTGCCAGATTGTTTTGGGCAAGAATTAAAGAAAAGAAAAATAACTTGAGTTCGATTAGTTCGATTTTCAGTAAAGCTAATGATATACGACCCTACGCATCCGTGCAGATCATGGGCAGAAATATGTTAGGGTTGCTCGACTCAGGTGCTTCCGTAAGTTGCTTAGGGGGAGTACTGGCGAATGAACTGTTGGCTAAGAAAGACTCTATCAAGCCAATTAGGTTCAATGTTCGAACAGCTGATGGGTCCCGTCAAGATATTGTAGGCGTAATTTCGTTGGAAGTTACTTATAAAGATGAACATAAGCCGATAGAATTTTATATAATACCCTCTCTGGTACAAAATATTTATTTAGGAGTAGATTTTTGGAGAGCATTTGGGATCGCTACTAATGTGATTAACGAGTTAAACGTCTCAGAACTTGATCCAAATGCACACATTTTAACTTCTGATCAGCAGCAAAAACTACAGGTTGCTATATCTAGCTTTCCAAAATTCGAAGAAGAGGGACTGGGTAAAACAACGCTTGTCGAACACATTATAGACGAGGAGTCGAACAGCGCTTGGTCTTCGCCCGTAGTTCTTGTACGCAAACCAGGAAAGGTACGACTGTGCCTTGATAGTAGGAAGGTTAATACGGTCACCGTAAAGGATGCGTATCCTCTACCTCATATCGAAGGAATTTTGTCCAGACTACCGCGAGCGGAGTACATATCCAGTTTAGATTTAAAAGATGCTTTTTGGCAAATTCCGCTAGATCGGAACTCACGCGAGAAAACGGCTTTTACGGTACCCAACAGACCGCTGTATCAATTTACGGTGATGCCGTTTGGTCTATGCAATGCACCACAAACGATGTGCAGGTTAATGGATCGTGTTATACCATATAACCTAAAGGAAAGAGTTTTTGTTTATCTGGACGACCTGCTGTTGGTCTCTGAGAGCTTCGATTCACACCTAGAACTGTTGAAGGAAGTTGCCGTTCATATACACAACGCTGGATTAACAATCAACATCGCTAAGAGCAAATTTTGTCTGACCGAAGTACGCTATCTAGGCTATATTGTGGGATTGGGAACATTGAAAACTGATCCGGGAAAAATTGAAGCGATAGTAAATTATCCTGTTCCAAGAACTGTGAAGCAGCTTCGCAGGTTTCTTGGAATGGCTGGATGGTATAGAAGATTTGTTTCCAATTTTGCTGAGGTAACTCATCCACTGACGGAACTTCTTAAAAAGACGAAATCTTTCGAATGGTCGGATAAGGCTCATGAAGCTTTTGACTTATTAAAGGCTAGGTTGACATCTGCTCCTTTTCTGGCTAATCCCGATTTTAAGAAACCATTTGTCATACAATGTGATGCCAGCTTACATGGAATTGGCGCGGTACTTGCGCAGGAAAATGCAGAAGGGGAGGAGATACCGGTGGCGTACATGTCACAGAAGCTTAATAGGGCCCAACAGAACTATTCTGTTACCGAAAGAGAATGTTTAGCGGCTGTATTAGCGGTTAAAAAGTTTCGACCATATGTCGAGGGACAGACCTTCAAAATCATCACGGATCATGCCAGCCTACGTTGGCTGATGCACCAGAAGGACCTCAGTGGGCGGCTAGCGCGCTGGGCGTTGAAATTTCAAGGCTTCGATTTTAAAATCGAGCACCGAAAAGGCAGTGCAAACGTCGTGCCAGATGCCCTTTCTAGGATTTATTCTGATGACATCGTTTCTTCAATGGAGGTTGATTATGTTCCAGATATAGACTTGCTTTCGACGAAAATGATTACGTAGCGCTTAGGGATAAACTTTCAAACCAATCGGAAAAGTTCCCGGACTTTAAGGTTTGCGATAATTATATATATCACCGGAATGAGTTTTACACAGGAAACAAAGAAATGGAGGACGCAGCGTGGAAGCTTTTTGTACCCGTATCGCTGCGAAATGAGGTTGTGAGGAACCTGCATGATGTTCCTACGTGTGCGCACGGTGGAGTCGCCAAGACCACAGAAAGGCTGCGACGATACTTCTATTGGCCTGGATTACATCGCACGGTACAAGAATATGTTTCCAACTGTAATGTATGTAAGACTACCAAGCACCCGACGAAGGTCCTGCGGCCGAGGATGGGGAAATTCACGCCTGTGGAAAGGATATTCCAAAGATTGTATATCGATTTAATAGGCCCCTTTCCACGATCTAAAATCGGACATATTGGTATTCTTATTATACTTGACCACATGTCTAAGTTTACATTTCTTTTTCCTCTAAAAAAATTTACCACCACCCCTATCGCTAATTACTTAAAAGCCCATGTGTTTGACGTCTTTGGTGTTCCAGAGTATGTAGTTACAGACAACGGAACCCAATTTAAGTCAAAAGAGTTTGAAGCCTTCCTAACACGATGTGGGATTAAACACACCTTTACAGCTTTGTATTCCGCTCAAAACAATTCATCCGAGCGTGTTAATCGGTCGGTAAACGCCGCTTTACGAGCCTAAGTAGAAAACGACCAGCGTGAGTGGGATTGTCACTTAAGTAGCATTAATTCTGCACTTCGGAACTCGATCCACCAAACTACGGGTTACAGTCCCTACTTCACTGTTTTTGGGCAGCATATGATTACCCACGGCGATAACTATGCGTTGCTTAAAAGCATTAACATGACATCAGAGGGTTTGGTCGAAACCAATCATGGTTACGAGAATATATTAAACGTTAGAGATAGAGTAAGGACTAATTTGCACAAATCCTTCGAACAAAATAAATGCCGGTATAACTTAAGATCTCGACCCATCCAGTACTCTGTTGGCCAAGAAGTTTATAGGAGAAATTTCGCCCAGAGCGACATGTCCAAGTCGTTCAATGCTAAATTGGCTAAGACATTTCTCAGGGCACGGGTTCGAGAGAAGGTAGGATCTTCATACTACATTTTAGAGGACGCTAATGGTAAACTAATAGGCACCTTCCATGCTAAGGACATCCAGGCTTGTTGAACTTCTCGCCTTTTGCAGGAGTTTTGCAAAAGCATCTGCAATGCTTTATCAAAGCACCTGTGTTGTGAGCGCGATATCCATCAGCGTAGCCTGAAATCATAAGTCTTTAATGGTTTTCATTCGTTTGTTAAGTTCTTAAGTTTTTTTTTGTTGGCCACCTTAGCCACAATTCAACGACATTAGTACAGGGAGCGTTCAAGTAAGTAAGACGCCTGTCAAACGGACAGGTGGACGTTGATCGAACTTCCGCTGGCTCTCTCTTGTTTTTTTGGCTTGGCATCGGTCGGACGGGCTACACGCGTGCTGTAATTTATCTGAATTAATCGAGCATCGTCTCAGGATTTAGACTAGCACCGTTTAAAGTTTTGTGCCCAATACCATTCCGGTTAACGCGAATGAATTATATTTTTCTTTGTAAACTCCGATCTCCGAAGTCCGAAAGCGACCGCTGAGTTGGAGGAAGAATTGGTCGCTCGACCAGATTGGTGGCTGAAACAGTAGCAGACGCAGATGGTGTAGAATCCACGTGGAGCATTCTTCAGGGTTCATCTTGCATCCGTGCAAGTCATCGCATCTAAGCGGAGCAGTATACGTGGAAGGCCGGAACAGGCTAATTTTAAAAGGCATATACAGTATACACCACGCGGTTAAGTATGGAGTAATAGATTTGAGGGTGCAGAGAAAAAAAAAAATAGAAATCCTACTCATCAAAAGTAATCACTAGATAGGGTTTATACGAACAGGACAGTCTGATTGCTTCCCTCGGAAAAGAACATGTTAACTATAAAAAGAAAAATTATATGCATATTACCTGAGAATACTTAAAATTTTTCTTATCATTAAAATTTAATTGCTTATATAAAAAGAAAGAAATGGACATCATTAACTATGTACCTACATATGTATTTTAAGTCAATGCTTAAATAGTAGCAAAAGAAAAAAAAAAACAAAAAAAAAAAAAAACTTAAATTTTACATAGCAACATTGAAAGTACCCTATAAGTACCCCTCTGACAATTATATTTGTAATAGCTCTGAGGATGCGTAAATTAATAGTTCAGGCATAGCGGTAGTAGGTGTAAGAAGAAAAAAGAAACAGAAAATATTTAAGATCATTCATAGTTAAGCTTATGTAAATATGTTTATCTAGGTGAGTGATTATTCTATTATATACATACATATACGTACAACAGCCTTTCCAACGTCCGACCATCTCACCAGGCGCCTGCTGATACCGATCGGGAGAATGACATGTAAGTGCTCTTAATTTTCCTTTTCTCTTAAATAAGTATTGATAGACTTTTCACTCATATGTCAGAAGCAAAAGAGTAGCTTGATTACAAACCACCGCATTGGCAAACCAGCGTGTGGTGAGCGCAGCATTATTTTCCATTGCTTTTGTATACATATTTTCACTGATCAACTTAATCCAGCTACTCTCCTGCGATTTTTATTTTTTTTATATCGAAACTCATATGTTTAGTACTTCACCTAACGAATTGCATTTATCTAAATATTTTTTTTGCTATACTAATATTCATATATGTAAAATGTGTATATATATATATGTATATACTTATATCTACACATAGCTATAAATATCTACATATGTACGCATAGTTTTATGCTGACCGAATAGGGTGACCAGATTTATTATTCGTAAAATTTTGGTTGCTAAATGAATTAATATTTTTTTTTATTGACAATTGTTATTAGGATAATTTATTCATAACTGAGGATTGATTTCCTTGCAGTTATGGTTGGCGATAAATTAGTTGTAATTATTATTATAAATAAATTTACTGAACTGTAGCTTGTGAAATGAAAGCATGAGTTAAATTTTCTTAGTCGTGAGATGACCTAACCCATAGACTTGAAGGTATGGTTGGGATGGCGATGCATAAAGTGTCTCTTCATGGTTGGGCAGGGAAGAGTAGGGGAGGGCAGCGTTGATCAAGGGGGATCCTCTCCGTTTGCGTCTGTCTGCTAAGTTTAAGGGATTTGTGGTATTTAATGTGGGATAGTTTTTGTGGTCCGGTAATGATATTTAAGTGCATGATATTTTTTGTGTGTGTAGACAGGACATCTTCAAGAAAGTGCGGCAAGACCCACCCCAACCCGACGAGCTGAGTACCAGGATAATACTAGCATGCACAGCCGTTCACTTTTGATGTACCACCGCAGGACTTCATAACACATGCCAGTGGACGATTTTGCTGATGCGTCGAACACCACACGTAATTTTGTAGTGCGGCTTTCGGGTCTCACAATGCAATGGTGAGGAATGAAGTACCTAGGTTTACTGATGGAATCAATATCCACTTGCGTCATGTGCCCCAAGTTCTCATATTCCTCCGTAAATTGTACATATTGATTCTTTGTCTGGAGCGATTTTGCCAGTCGACTTTCTAAGGCCAGGAATCGATTATACGCCATCCCATAGGATTCCCCTAAGGCCTCCGGATTTTCATGAAATGGTAGCCTTACCATGAATCTCCCATTTTCATTGATGAGTTTATGTTGTGCGAAATGAGCTTCGCACTGTTTTTCTGCTACCGAATGTTGTTTTCTTACAGTTGCCACGTCCTCAAGTTCCCATAATCGAGCAATGGCTGCATCTAAGTTGATGTCATCGTTGGTACAGATTCCACATATTGCATTTGAGATGTAGTTGCCACCAACTTTTCCCGCGATGATCCATCCCAGCACTGTATTTTGCAGAATGGGTAGGTCATCTGACAGTTTGATTTGCCCTGCTGCCATCAGTTGGTTGTAGAATTCCGCCCCCAACAATATATCAATTTTGTCAGGACGATTGAATGATGGATCGGCTAACATGATGTTCTCAGGAATTTGCCATTCGTCGATCTTGATTTCTTGCGACGGCTGCGGGGATATAATCTGAGGCAATACCGCTGCCTCTAGTCGCGTTGTAAAGTTGTTGATCCGAGACTGTAGCGCCACATTGACTCGATGCTGTATCTTAGTGCTCCTTGACCCGATGCCACTAATGGAGATTGATGATGGTTTAGTTGAGATGCCAAGACGTTTAACCAATCGTTCAGTCACAAAATTAACTTATGAGCCTGAATCGAGAATTGCCCGACACTGCACTTCTGTTCCGATTCCTCTAACTTTCACCATGGCAGTGCTGAGTAGTACATACGTGTTTGACTTTGTGTGCTTTGCGGTGGTAAGTGACGCTGCTTCGTCTTTTGATGGCGTTGATTTGGTCCTGGATGGTGTAGTACTTTGCGATTCGTTGCCTTGTGTTGGAGTGGCTACTGATGTAATGTCTTTGCTCACATCCCTTTTTGAATCCTCGAAATGTAACAGCGTGTTGTGTTTTTTGTTGCATTTCAGACAGTTTCTTAATATACAATTTTTAGAACCATGTCCTGGTTTTAGGCAATTGTGGCAATATTTCTGCCCTTGTATGAACTGAAAGCGTGCCGATGGAGACTGTTGTAAAAATTCCTTGCAAGAAAATAATGGATGTTTTCCTTTTTTGCACATGCTGCAAGTGTCATTTCTATGACCTTTGGATGTGACTGAAGTGCACACCTTTGCAGTTGAGCTTGTAGATTTGTCTTTGACACCCATCGCTTCCATGGATTGAAAGTGTTTCTCCAGAAATTGCAGGAATTCCTTGAGTGTTTGTACCTCCCGTGGCTTTGATAATGATTGTTCGTACCGCAAACGAGTCGGTTGATCCAGTTTCTTTAGTAGAAGGGGGAGCAGAAGTGGATCCCATGTTGATGTGTCTATCTGCAAATTTTGCAATGCTAATAGACATTCTTGTGTTGTGTCATGCAGTTTTTTGACATTGTCCATTGATGTGCTTCCAGGTGTAGTAGTTAGCTCATGTACTAACTTGCTCACCAGCAAGCGTTTGTTGTTGTAACGCTCCAGAAGCATGAACCAAGTTGCATCAAAATTCTCTCCTGTTGATGCGAAATGTTTAATTAAATTTCCAGCCTCCCCCACTAGGTGAGTTTTCAAGTACCACATTTTCTGAACTTTTGAAAGAGGTTGATTTATTACCAGTTGCGAGAATAGGTCATGAAATTCTTGCCATTTTAAATAGGTGCCATCGAATTTTGGAATTATTATCTTCGGCAGTGAAATGGATTGCAGTTTAATCGGAAGTTGGTTTGAAGATTGCTCAGTATGGGAGTCACTATTAGCTGCTTGCAAAGTACTCCATACCTTTTCCTCAAGTGAAATGAAGTTATCGACCTTGTAGCCCTGCTCGGTTGGGTTGTCGAACATCTCATATATCCTGAAGTGAATGTCTTCTATATTTTCCCACAGTTTATTAATTGTTGGAACACATTGTGGTGAAACGTTGTCGTTCAGTAACCGTCGCAACGAGGCCATCATTACCCCTTGTCTGCGGACTAGTTTCGTGTACTCGTTGGAAGCTGCCTGTGTGGTTCCAGTATCATGCCGTGCTTCTGTGTTGACTTTTGAAGCTGAAGCATCACGTTGGTACGTACTTCCTTCATTAGTTGTTAAGCGCAATTCTCTCGTCGGGGTTTGAGCCAATTGGAGCACTGCGGACTCGAAAATCTCCTTGTACTGATTTACAATTTCCATTTATTGTTATAGTAGTCCTTTGTAAAGTAGTCGTGATCCAGCTGGGGGTTTTCAAGCAGTCGAAGTTTGTTGTCAGTTGTTTCAAACTTCGACCACTCGCTGTCCAGTCTTCTTAATCGCTCTTCGTAATAGCTGATTGACTGCTTCCTGGATTGCGGGTCCTTTTTAAAGTTTCGGACAATTGATTCGATATTGCTGCCCGTTTCTCTTTGTTGTCTGGCCAAATCCTCGAAACGATCCATTTTTCTTCTATTAGATTAGTTTTATGGCTCCTTAAACTGCTGCACTGGCCTTGGTTAAGCTGAATGTCCTTTCACAGGGGTCACCAGAATGTTCAGAATAATAGCGATTACGCCAAGTTCGAACACTGTTGTTTGCTTGATTGCTTTCAAGTGATCTTTATTGAATTAATGATTACGTTTATATACAAACTAAATGCTTACGTAGCTAAAGCATAAAAACTTTGGATAGTAAGCAAAATTATTGTAAAGGCTTTATTCCCACGTTTTGCTTTACATAAGCATAATTAATGCAAATGCTTTATTCCCACGTTTTTGTTGACATAAGCATATTCCACATTTTGCGTCTACTTTCATTTGCGTGCATTAATCAACAATGTCTTATATGTAACTTGACACATGCCAAATTATTTGGCTATAAGAAAACACTAAAAGGCATAAAGTACACGCTACGCATAAAAGAATGCAAGCGAAAATTAATACCCTGTTGAATAAAGCCAATGCAATATTAATATGTCGACTTTTCTTATTTAATAACAGGCTTGAACAAACTCATTGACATCATCCTTCAAGATCATTACTTTTTGCAGGATTTCTTCTGATAGTTTCATAACGTGGTCATGCCCCAGGATGCCGTTTGTGACGGTTACCATGCCGTTGACCACCTGCAATAGCTCATGAGTTTTCTTAAATATTTCATTATTTACCCTGTACTGTTGGTTGTTGTTTAGTACTAGCGAATCCTGGGATCGAAGTACCTCATCCCAATCGGACGCGTCGGGAGAACCGGCAATCCATTTCCAAGCCGATCCTATCCAATTGATTGCACGCTTATTTCTTTTGTGTTTTGGACCTTTTAGCTCATTAAGTTGGATTTGAACCTTCTCTAAGTGATAGGCAAGGACATCCGTGATATCATTGGTTTCATTCAGCCTGGTGACTTCGGCTTCCAGACGACTTGCGATTTCTTCATAGCGGGCTAGGTTGATCACATGAATTATCTTGAAGTATCCGTCGACTATCCAGCCATACCCGTCTCGTACAGTTACCACAGGCGAGTGTAGATCGAATAGGACGTATGCTTGTGCGGGCGCACAGAGGCAGAATCTAGGAGTCAAAGTACAAATATCCTTATAACTAATATACATAGTTAGTGAAAAATTTACATTTCAAAATTAATATTCCATGAACTAAAGCTATTTATCGGATTTTATTTCAAGAACAATACTTAATTAGGAAATTTACATGTCATCTAAATGCTATCCTACGGTTTTTCGAATCTTATCCTGAAGCTGAAGATTTAAATATGTAAAATTTATGTAACATTTCAGATATTATGACTTGTATCTAATTTAATTGTAATCTCTTTCCTAAATGCTAGTACTATAACTAGTGAGTGGAGTTCGGGTCGCTTCGGGTTTGACGGGGATGTATGAGGACTCGGAGTGGTGTTAAGTGGAATTTACTGACAATTAATTTTTTCAGTTATTTTAGTTTATTAGTTAGCATTAGTAAGTTAATAGGGTTTTGTTAGTATAGTTTAACTTGTTCGTATTAGGTTTTTTTTTGTTTTTTTTTTTGATTAACCGTTTTTGTTGCTAGTTAGTGAGTTATTTTTAGTTTAGTTTGTTAGTATCTTTTTTCGAGGAATGTTTCCCTTTTTTTCCTTTTTTTTTAAGATGTTAGTTAGTTAGTGATTTAGTAATTTGTTTTTTTGTTAGTAATGCTTTTTTTTATTTTTGCTCCTTTTAGGCGCTTTTTTGCATATATTTTTTTATTTTTGCTCCTTTAGGTGTTTATGTACGACTTAGTTGCATATTTTTGTTTTAAATTCTTGCACCTTTTAGGTGTTTGTGTACAACAATTTAGTCGCATAATTTTGCATCGGAATATAGGCGTTTTTCTCAGCTGACATTGGAAGGCTCGTGTTGATCCCTTTTAGCCATAAGCGTTAATAATTGCAAATGGCCTACTCATGGCACGAGTGGCTTCACGTCAATTAAAGCAGAGACCCCATGGTGGAGTTGAACCACACCGATTGTAATCATTCGAACCATCGAGTTATTTGGAATTGAACCAACATCTGACTACATCGGCTGCAAACAATTTGCACCCAAACCCTGGGACCCGAGAATCTAAGCATAAGATTTGCCTTCTGACCAATGTTATCTTTAGATGTTTTTTACATCTGCTTTGTGGAATTTTTTCCCTGTTTGCGTAAGTATTGTTGCGTTTCGATTCTCGGCAATCGTTTCTTCTTTGTATAATGGCTTTTGTTTGGCCTTAATTTGTTTATTTGAAATGAACACCTTATCTCCGGTATCGAAAGAACGCGGAGTAGTGCGTTTGGTGTTCAACCTCGCGTTTCTGACCTCCTGCTCCTTCTCCAATAAAGCCTTTATATCCTCCATGGTTTTTTCCCTGAAATCTACCAACCCCTGATAATTTATTCTTGAGGTCCGGTTGAGGAATACGTCCGCCGGTTTTCGCTTGATAACAGAGTGAACGGTATTATTATACCTATCCACTGCTATTGAAATGCGCTCCTTTGGAGTTAATCTGTTAAACTCGCCCGAAATACAGCGGTATATCTCTATTAGTGTTGAATGCAAATGCTCAACCTGACCATTACTTTCACTTCTTTGTGTGGGAGTTTGGTAAATTTCTATTCCAAGGGATCGGATATAATTTAAAACAAGGGGCGTTAAAAATCCCCTTTCGTTGTCCATGACTAATATTTTCGGTAGTGAAGGAGATCAGTAAGTTTCTTTCGCAGGTGAACCGAAGATTTGTTTTTTATAGGAAAGAGCTTAGCAAATTTTGTGAACTTATCGATCGCGCTAAGATACTTTTGCTTTTCTATTTCGAAAAGGTCGATGTGTAGGATTTCGCAAGGATAACCTGGTATTGGGGTAGGTTGAAGGAACGGTTTTGCGGGATGCCGGTCGTACTTGTTTAATTTGCAGGTATCGCACTGCCTCACGTAGTCTCGTATTTGCCTAGCCATTGCAGGAAAATAATATTCCTCCAGTATTTGGAGTCGATTTTCACAAGGGTTTCTATGAGCTCTTTTGTGTTCATTCTCAATTATTTCGAAAACCCTGTCTGCAGCCATAACATCTTCCACAATCCTCTGGGTTATCCTTACTCGATATCTTTGAAAGTTGTTGACATAGACATCTTGTAACAACCCAAGAAATCTTCGGGAATCTTTATACCGTTAATAACATTTGGGTTCAGGACTTCCTTGAGGATTGCGGTCAATGCATCTGCATCGTGTTCCGGTAATGAGACATAAAACCTTCGGTAGCCTTGATGTGGTTCCTCAAGGCATCGAGGCCTATCCCCTTCCCTAAAAATGATTTGGTTCCTAAATACATTGATCGGAGCTTCCACGTGTGGTATAAGCTCAGAATTGTCCTGATCAGCAGAATGCATTGTAGCTTGTGTGGCAGTGTCAATTTCGGGCTCTATGTTAGGATTAGCATTTGTTGCGGGATCTTGATCTGAAACGGATGGGGGCTGAGCAACAACTGAATCGGTCAACGCGTTGACTTCAGTTTTGAGGCGAGAGGGAGCATCGTCAACCAAGTTCGATTTTCCTGGTTTGTAGATTAGTTCGCTATTGTACTCCTCAATCCTTGCTTTCCATCGTTTTAGCTTGGCATTGTAGTTCCTGCAACTCAGGGAAAACGTTAATGGCTGATGGTCGGTGTATATTCTAATCTTTTTGGCACCATATAGATAGGAGCGCAGATTGTCGAGTGCCCAAACTATAGCGAGGAGCTCCTTCTCGTTGGTGGCGTAATTTTCTTCGCATTTGTTCAAGGATCGCGAAATATAGGCTATAGGTTTGTCCTCGCCAATCGTTCCTTGTGAGAGGACTGCCCCAATGGCATAGTTCGAGGCATCGGTTGTGAGGTTAAATGGTTTGGCGAAATCAAGAAACGCCAGGACATCCGCAGATACCAATAGTTGTTTTAACTCATGGAAGGCCTCTAGGGCACTGCGGTCTAAATCAATAGCTACTTTCCTAGATGCGTTAGCTTTTACTTGAGCATTTTCGCCGCGCGTAAGATTGGTCAATGGCTTTGCGACCTTGGCATAGTCCCTAATGAATTTCCTGTAGTATGAGGTCAGACCCAAGAAACTCTTCAAGTCTTTCAAATTTTCAGGTGGTGAAATAAGCTTTATAGCTTCCACCTTTTTCGGATCAGCGCGTACTCCATGGGGAGTAATTATGTAGCCAAGGAATTCAACTTCCTTTTCGAAGAAACACGTCTTTTCTAGATTTACCTTCAGATTCGCTTCTAGGAGTGTTGCGAAGACTTTCTCCACGTTATCAAGGTGTTCTTTTGCGTCCCTACCGAATACTATTATGTCGTCAATGTAGACGTAACATATTTTCCCGATGTACTTTTTCAGGACATCGTCTATCATTCTCTGGAATATGGCAGGCGCATTTTTCAGACCGAACGGCAAGCGAAGGAATTCATATTTGCCGTTCATCGTGGAGAAGGCAGTCTTCGGGATGTCAGAATCCTTCATTGGAATTTGGTGGAATCCGGAGGTCAAATCAATCGTCGTATAAAAGTCGGCTTTGCCAAGGCTACATAACGTTGCGTTTATATCAGGGATGGGATAGGTGTCAGCTATCGTAACAGCGTTCAGCCGCTTATAGTCGACCACCATGCGATACTGTTTCTCCTCATTTGGTTTCGGTTTTTTCGGCACCACCCAAATCGGGGAATTGTAAGGACT